GTGTGTGTGTGTGTGTGTGTGTGTGTGTGTGTGTGTGTGTGTGTGTGTGTGTGTGTGTTTTCTACTGTTGTGTTTCTTCTCCCTCCTGGTAGTAGCATAGGATTGCTCTCTTGAACTCTGTTCTCCACTTGGCTCTGGCATTTGGACTATGGGGCTCATTCCCTGTTGACTAGATAAGCCGTGATTTACTTTGTACCCGGCACATGGAAATTTAGTTTTTTCCCTCCTGCCTCCCATAAAGATGCTGCAAATTGAATATCTTTGAAGACAAGGACTTGCAGTTCATCTGCAGGACTGGTGATCCTAGATCCCTCATTCTAGAAGTTGGACTATATTCTAGAAGCTGGTCCGAGGGTATGTGCATGGGTAGAGCACCAAATTGCTGTTGAAAACCTGCATTACAAAGCCGAGCCTCCGTTAGCACACTCGAGCACCTGTCTCGCTCGCGGTCAACAGCAGGTTTTCCATCTTTGCCCATCACCGTGGGGAGGGCGTCTTTCAGTGTTTTTGTGTGTGGCTGCTTGTGAGCCTCTCTTCAGAGGCCTTAAAAGCTGTCGGAGATCCACTTCTAAGTATAGATGCCAGAGCAGGGAACACAGGGATGGGAGCCGGGGTTTGCGGGCCCCGCGTTCCCAGCAGCCGGGGTACAGCCGAGTGTCCCTCCGTGGCTGCGGAATAAGCCACACGTGGTCCATCCACAAAGCAGAACTGTACTCAGCCTTCAAAAGGAAGGACATGCTGACACCTGCCACATCACGGATGAGCCTTGAGGCCATTGTGTGAAATGCAGGAAGCCTAGCACAGAAGGACAGATGCTCTGTGATCGCACTCGCATGAGGTCCTAGAGGAGTCCTGTTGGTGGAGACAGAGCGGAGTGGTGGGAGCCGGGGTCAGAGGAGGCGAATGTGGACTTGGAGTTTCATGGAGGCAGAATTCCAGGCTGGGCTGATGGAAACGTTCTGGGGATGGCTGGTGGTGATGGTTGCATGACAGGATAGGTGTACTTAGTCACCAACCTGGACACTTAACAATGGTTGAGATGGTAACTTCTATGTATATTTTACCACAAAGAAACCTTTTTAAAATAAACAAGAAAAAAACTCAAAAAACCCTTATAAAATAAAAAATGTGTAAAAGCCTCCAGAAAGCGCTGTCGAGGGTGCCCATGAAGAGCCCCCATCCAGACAGTGGAATCAAAATCTCCCTTTGTTCTCGAAGGTTCTAAAAATCCTGCCAGGTCTCACCAGGTTGCAAGCACGAGAGTAGCAGAAGAAACCAATGCGAGGTCTCTTTGGTGGGGTGGTTGGGGGTGGTTCTCCACAGTTCCTGGCCTGGCTGCTTCGGCTGGGAGCTGCTGTTCGGGCCCGACGGGCCCCTCCCCCACTGACCCTCTGCTTTCTTGCTGCTCTCCCACCAGCTTCATGTACTGGACGGATTGGGGAACCCCCGCCGAGATCAAGAAGGGGGGTCTGAACGGTGTCGACGTGTACTCGCTCGTGACGGAAGACATCCAGTGGCCCAATGGCATCACCCTGGGTATGTCCTTGGGACATGGGTCCCTGGGGTCGGGCACTGTCTGGAGGAGGAGAGGGAGTGGCCACGAGGCCCCAGAGAAAGCATGTGCAGCTTCCTGAGTGTTTTACAAGCTGCTGTTAAACTACGCCTGTGTGAGGTTTGGGCTCACACAGGGAAGTATGTTTTGGGGCTGGTTTTTGGGGTACATCTCTGATGGGTCCAGGCCCCTCTGGCATTGGCATGTGATCTCTTCCTTGTCCACCTGTGGGTTCTAGATCTTTCTGGTGGCCGCCTCTACTGGGTTGACTCCAAACTCCACTCCATCTCCAGCATTGACGTCAACGGCGGGAACCGGAAGACCGTTTTGGAGGACAAGAAAAAGCTGGCACACCCCTTCTCTTTGGCCATCTTCGAGGTGGGGGCTGGGAGCCAGGGGCTGCTGCTTTGGGACCTGAGGGAATTCACATCCAAGTGCTGGGTACTGAGCGCAGCTCACGCGCAAGGCCTAAGTGCTTGTGCTAACGGGTCAGCCCACACTGTTTGGCTCATTCAAGCCAGGACCAATTTAGAAGATGGAAGTTATTTCCATTTTCTTCTCCTTAAAAGAGGTGTTTTTGTCTGTTCATTTTTGTTGTTGTTTTTTTAAGTAAACTTTACCCCCAACATGGGGCTCAGACTTACGACTCTGACATCTAGAGTGTCAGATTCCCCCAACTGACCCAGCCGGGCACCCTCCTCACCCAAAGAGTCTTAAAGCAACAGTTCTTGCTTGGAGGCCATCTTGGGGCCCAGGGGACATTTGGTACTTTCTAGAAACTTTCTGGTTGTTGCACTTGGAGGGGCAGTTACTGCTGGGACCTAGAGAGAGAAAAAGGGGCCATCCACAGTGGGAAAACTGCTCTAAGGAAACGTTGTTATATTCGTGCACCCGTGTTCAAACAGCGTGAGTCGCAGTCTCCAAGAGATGGAAGCAAGCTGGGTGTCCATCAGAGAGGAAGGGCTAAAAACATGAGTATCTGTACAGTGGAATGTGATTCAGGAAACAGGGAGCAACTTCTAACATGCACTGCAACGTGGAGGGACCTGGAGGGAACTAAGCCAGACACAAGAGGACAGAAACTCTGTTGCCACTTCTGTGAGGTCCCTACAGGAGCCCCATCCACAGAGACAGGAAGTAGATGGTGGGAGTCACAGCTGGGCTGGGGTGGGAAGTCAGTGTTTCCTAAGGACAGAGTCTCAGTTTGGGGAAATGGAAGGTTCTAGACATGGATGGTGGTGATGGTTGCACACCAACGTGAATGTACCTAATGCTACAGAACACATTTAAAAAGGATTAAACTGGCTGATTTTAGGTTCTGTATATTTTACAAAATTAAAAATTTTTTAATAATGAGAAAAAATGAGGCTCGTACCACCCAGTACCGCTTCCTCCCAGAAATTCAGGTATCCTGTAGCCCTTGATTAATGGGATTTGTTGTCCTCTTTAATTTCCATATAGGATAAAATATTTTGGACGGACATCATCAACGAAGCCATTTTCAGTGCCAACCGCCTCACAGGCTCAGACATTAATTTGGTGGCAGAAAACCTGTTGTCCCCGGAGGACATTGTCCTTTTTCACAACCTCACACAGCCAGAAGGTAAAGATGGGGTGACAGCCTCCTCCCTCCACCTCCCTGCCGGTGTTCTAGAATTTTCTAGAATTTTCTGTTCTTGTTCTTCCCCTAACTCCCTGGGTCTTCTCCATCAGGGGTGAACTGGTGTGAGAGGACAACCCTTCGCAACGGTGGCTGCCAATACCTGTGTCTCCCAGCCCCACAGATCAACCCCCACTCGCCCAAGTTCACCTGTGCCTGCCCTGATGGCATGCTGCTGGCCAAGGACATGAGGAGCTGCCTCACAGGTGGGGGCACCAGCCTGCCTGGGCATGTGGCCTGCCACCCTTGTGGCTTAGTCCTGCAATTTGCCCTTCCTGTTCTTCTCTTTGCTCATCTGTCAAATGGGAGACGGAGGCACCAGGAGGCCATTGTAGGGGGTGACCATAGTTTGCCTTTGTCATGCAGGACAATGAGCTCCGTGCCAGGCATTTAGACAGACGCTGTTCACCTTCGATGTCTGGTTCACTTTCTCCTGGCCCTCTTGGGAGGTGACTGATTTTAGACATGGGCATCAAGTGCGGAGATGACCCCCTTTTCAGTTTTTCTCATCCTTAGCGAAAGTCTCAGTTTGGGGCCAATGTATCTGTCATTGGGAATCTCCCTTTGGAACTACAACAGGTAATAACATAGACGTTCGTGTTTTTCAGTTGTTTTCAGTCATTTTTTAAAAGATTTTATTTATTAGCAGGGGGAGGGGCAAAAGGAGAGGGAGGAGCAGACTCCCCACTGAGCAGAGAGCCTGCTGCAGGATTTGATCCCAGGACACAAAGATCATGACCTGAGCCCAAGGCAGACACTTAACCTATTGAGCCACTCCGGTGCCCCTGTTCTCAGTTAAAGAAATAACACAAATGTGGCGGGTGGCATATGCTACTTACCATTGTCACGAGCAGCGGGACACTCAAGAAATGTTTCTTCTTTCAGGGCCTGAGCCTGGAGCGACCACCCAGGGCACCTCCACGGTCACGGTCAGGCCGACGGTCCGCTCCACAACCGTGGAGCCAAAGCACACAACCAGCCCGCAGTCCGTGGCCAGCCCTGAGTTCACCACGGCTGAGATGGTGACAATGTCCCACCACGGTAAAAGCAGGGGCTATCCTGGGCCCTGGTTTATAGCTCGAGCATCTCGACAGGCCCCATCAGAGGCCAAGAGAATCTTGGGGAAGGGATGGAGCGGGTGTAGTCCTGGCGCCGGTACTCTTTCTGACATGGCCTGTGCATCTCAGAAGCCTCCATTTCCCTACCTATAAAATGGGACTAATAACCATGCCCGGCCACCTCGGGGTGGTAGTGGGGATTACGTGGCCCCAGGCATGGGAAGGGCTGGAGTGCGGGGCGGCTTATTCCAGAGTCCTCCCCAAGCAGAGGCCTGGGAGCCTGAAATGTTATCAAGGCCCATTCGATGACCTGCTTTTAGGTGTCTGCCCAGCAGGACCAGGGCCGGGGTGAGGCGGGTGAGACGCTGCTCAGGGCAGCATCAAAGGGGACACCAAAAACCCAGCACTTAAATCGTATTGCACTGCATTATTTTTTCAAAAATCAAACCACCAAACTATGGACCGTGGGCCTAACACCTGGTCTTGTAAAGAGAGTTTAATCAGAGCCAGGGTCCCAGTGAGGCAGGGTCCAGCAAGTGTAGAGTTGGAGCCTGTCTTCCTAAAAATCTGACGCTTTATTCTGCGGTATTGGCCTTCATTTTTATTTCTTAAAAAATAGCACATTAAAATATTACTCAGTTACTAAGTTTTTTTGACAAGGGGGTGGGGCGGGGCAGGCTTTAAGTTTTGTGCTTGTGGCTAATGCCTGACTCTCAGTGCTCAAGGAAGACCCGCCATTCATCGCTTTGCCCACCAGAGGGCGCCTGCCCTGGAATTTGAGTGGCCAGAAAAACGGAGCTCATAGATTTTTCTAGCCCCCACCCCGCCGCCGCCAAAAAAGGGCATATCAGCGGCTTTCAGGCATTTTTTTCCCCGCCCCCTCAGAGTAGGTGAGACCTATGTCCAACCATAAACAAGGCAAAGCAGGAACTTCTGTGGTTGAGGGAGGCCAGGAAACCGGTTTGCTGGGTTTGGGGGTGGCCATTGCTTGAAAAAGCCATTTTCCAGATGGGCCCACCCAGGGCTTCTCGCTTTGGGCAAAGGAGCCCTTGTAAGGGAAAAACTTCTCAAGGACCTTGCTGCTGCCCCCTTAAATTATTTTTAAGTTTCCTTAAATATGTGCAAATGTAGGAAAAGTCAGTGTAATCTCTCTACACACACACACACACACACACACACACACCAACGGGCAGAATTCAAACCCAGGTGGGCTGGAGTATAACCAATGACGTCAGTCACTGCTCACCTGTGTGCATGTGGTCCAGGTGCGGCTCATAAACTTTGGTTTGCGTGGGGCCCTCCTAGGGCTCAGGTGCACATGTGTGCTTCTGTGACGGGGTCCCCCCAGTTTTCTGACCTGGGGACAGCTGCCACAGGACTGTGGCACCTGGGTGCAGTCCATGTCCTGGAGTCGCTGAACGTTACGGAGTCAAGAGGCTCCTGTCCCACCCAGACCTGTCTCGTTTCCATCAAATGCACCAGCAGGGCGAACGGGCCCACCCGTGACCTCACCAGCGGCTGGGGATGCACCTGCAGGCTTTTGTCTCAAAGACCAGGGGCTTCCTCCCTGGCGCCTCAGAACGCTGGGCTAAGGAACACTCTTAAATCTGCTCCGAGTCCCATAACACAGCCTGCTAATGCGTAAGGCCCAGCGTGGTACCTCTCAAACCTGGGAGAGGCTCCAAGTTCCTTCGAACTTTTTTTAAGATTTATTTGAGAGAGAGAGAGAGAGAGTGAGCGAGCGAGCACAAGCAGGGCAAAGGCAGAGGGAGAGAATCCCAGCCAGACTCTCTGCACAGCCTAACCTGGGGCTTGACCTCATGACCCCGAGATCAGGACCTGAGCCAAAATCAAGCGTCCGACGCTTAACCAACGACACCACCCAGGTGCCCCTCCCTTGAACCTTTAAGGACACCAGGAAGCATCAGGCGTTTCCCTGTGTGTGTTTCCCTGTGTGTGTCGGTTGTCAGACACCTGCTGTGTTTCCCGGGCCCTCACAGTGGAGCTTAGCCCTGCTTTGTCCTTTGTCCCATGCAGCCCTGGGCGACACAGCCAGCAGAGGAGACGAGGAGAGGCCCAGGAGTGTGGGGGCGCTGTACGTCATCCTCCCCGTCGGTAAGCCCACCGGCCAGGCCCACCCACATCCCACCCCCGGCCTGGCCCCCTACGCTATGACCGCCTGGGCCAGACCACCTTTTCTCCCAGGCTAGGGGGTGCCCCTTTTCCAGCGTCATTCACTCAGAAAATACAGTTGAGTGCCTACTGTGTGCCAGCCCGCTTCTGGGTCCTGAGGCCGCCCCTGGTTGAGGACGAAGCCCCCTACCTGCTCAGAGCTGACGAATCAGCCTGGGCCGGGCCCGGAGGTTGCTACAGGGAAGGCCCCTGCCACCCGAGGGACGCCTCCTGCTGAACGGTTCTCCTGCAGGGGGAGTTCAGGGAGTTGTACCCCCCACCACACCCCTATCAGTCACCCCTCTTTGAGTCACATCCGTTACTCCTTTTCTGAGCAAACCCTCTCGAGGTGTCCCTTCCCCAGCCAGCCCAGTCACGGAGACCTATATGTCATCTGGCTGGGAGGGGACTGACGTGGCAGTGGGACCCTCACCCCGGGCTGGCTGATGAGGGTGGCACCCACCACCTGTCCTCCCAACGGAGCCGGAGTCTCTCCTACCCTCTGGGCCTTGGCGAGAACTTTTTTCTTAATTTATTTATAAGATTTTATTTTATTTATTTGCGAGAGAGCAAGAGAGAAGGAGCAGAGGGAGAAGCAGACTCCCCACGGAGCAGGGAGCCCAACTTGGGGAGCCCCAAGATCATGACCTGAGCCCAAGGCAGACGTTTAACTGACTGAACCACCTAGGCCGGGATTTTTTACCAACCTGGGCTGGCTGAGCCCTTGGCTGTCCCCTGGTCTGGGCACACCACCACGGGGCCCACTAGAAATGAGGCAAAGAGCATCTGGACGGAAGAAAGGAGTTTTGGCTCCCGGGGATCGAATGCAGTCCCATTTCTGGAAGAGGGGAGGCCCCCCGTGCGGTGACTCAGAGGAAACCTGGGAACATGAACCACCGTGGGGCATTTCCAGGCCGAGGCAGTCGCAGTGGGCCTCGAGTTAGAGATTTATTATGCACACAGGGAGGTTTTCTTCCTAGTGGCTTCGAATTTGGACCAAAAAAACCCCTCTATACGTCAGAAGGCCCAGAGTCTGCTGGCAGTGTCCCTGGGTGGGAGTGCAGGGGGCTGGGCGCACTCCAGGGCGCCCCCTGATCAGACCCCCTCCCCCCACAGTCCTGCTCACCCTCCTGTGCTTCGGGACCTTCCTCCTCTGGAAGAACTGGCGGCTGCGGAGCATCAACAGCATCAACTTCGACAACCCCGTGTACCAGAAGACCACAGAGGATGAGGTCCACATCTGCTGCAGCCCGGACGGCTACACCTACCCTTCGGTGAGCGCCCCGCCCCCACCCAGAGGCTGGGGGACCCTCCAGAGCCCTTCTGGGGTGAGGGGTGGACAGCATCAAGAAAAGGGGGGGAAACAAGCCAGTGGGGGCTGGGAGAGCTTAGATGAGGGGGCTGGGGCAGGCTTCCCCGAGGCTGGTGTGGCTGGAGCTGAGAATTGGGGGAAGGGAGTGTCGGGGCGGGGGGAAGCCAAGGGAAGGGACAGGACAGGACGGGATGAGGCGGCTGGAGGAGGATTCTCGCTTATGCTCTCACAAGATGGGAGCCCTGGAGAGTTCTGGGCTTGGCCTGACTTGGGGCTCACAGGCGCCCTCAGGTGGCTGTCAGGGGAAAAAGACTGGAGCCAAGGTCGGGAGCTGGGGACCAGGACAGAGGCCGCTGTGCTGGTCCCAGCCAGCGATGAGGGGACCTGGGGGGCCGGGAGGCGTAGGTGGCCTCTGGCCATGTTTACTGAACGTTGGCCTGATCGCTTCCGGCGTTTCTCTTTCGTGACAGAGACAGATGGTCAGCCTGGAGGACGAGGCGGCGTGAGCTGCTGCTTCCAGGCCCGTCCTTCCCCGGAACCTGCTGCTGGTCACGGGCAGGAAGAACACTTTCTCCCCAGACCCTTGACCTGCCCCAAACCCTTCCTGAGACCTTGACGCCCTCCCGTTTCATGCAAAGAAAGCAGCGAACCCAAAGCAGCGCCTGCAGCCGCTGGGCCTGTCCTGCCAGAGCTTTGTTCTATATATTTATTCGTCGGGTAGGCAGACGGGCTTCCAACGGCGCCCGTGCAACGGGTTGAGGTTGGAATTTTTTTTCTTTATGACTAGTGGAGAAGAGAAGGTCGAATGAGCTGGGGTGGGGGGCGTCTCTGCCCTCTCCAGGGACTGCCAGAGGGACAGAGAAGGCAAGGGGCTGGGAACTGGAGAGCAGACCCTACCCTACCTGCGAGGTCCTGGGTGGCTGCTCTACCCCTCCCCGTCCCCGCCCCAGCCCGAGCCCCCAAACTCAGGAGTAACCGTGCTCACCTCTGCCTTGCTGGGCAGCCGGCGCTCACTGTTGCTTTCCTGCACCTCAGGTCTGGATCAAACTCGGGTTTTCCAAGCGAGGTCTGTGCCCTCCCTTGACTCTAGCATTGGTCTTGACCTGGCCAAATCCAGCATCCTGGGGGTGGGGCCAAGTGAGTCGGGTTCATTCACTGAAACCTCCACCGTCCCCAGGTTACCGGTTGCCCTTAATATGGATTAAGTGCCTGAGACGCCCAGTTAGCTGATGCGTGCAGACAGCGGCCTCCAGTCTCTAAGAGCGTCCTGTGGTCCAGGCGTGGTGGCCTGGACCACAGCCCCCGCGCCTGCGCCAGACCCTTCCAGATCCCTCGAGCACTTTTTTTTTAGTTCAGGGCTGCATCTTATGTAACATTGACATCGTTACTGTTTTGCACTGGTTTCTGTTCCGGTTGGGATGGGCTCCGGGCCCGCATGGACAAACGTGCGTGATCTCGGGGCTTCTCCCCGCCGAGCGCCTCAAAGCTGCCATCTTCACTGTCCCGCTAGTGTTTCTGCTTCTGTGCAGACGCCCCGAGCCATTCATTTCCCCCAACAAGATGCTTGTCGATGGGTGCCTGTCCAACACGTGCATGGCGTTTTAGCCCCGTAAGACACCCCCCTGGGCTTGGTCGGCTCACGGGACTTCTTAAACAAAATGTCTTTCCCATGCTCTCATCTGTGTCGCCTTTCCGACCAAAGACAGAAGACGCGGCCTCCTGTGGCTTCCCGCCTGGCCTCGTCCGGGGCCTGCCTGTCGCTCGCCGCATGACCGCCTGACACTGTGCTCTACCCTCTAGGAAACTGTGAAGCCTTTTCTCCTGCCGAAGCATGTACATAATCCCTCGTACAGATCACGGGGGCTTTTTTGTTATGTTTGCACTTTGTATATTTGTTAAACGTGTATCACTTCTATATATGAAACAAAGATCTATTTATTTTTGCAAACCCTAGTTGCTGCAACGCTGACCCTCCGGGGGCTCCCCTCGGGGGGAAGTCGTCTCTGAGACGCCTCTTTTTGTACAAAGATTAGCGCAAAGCTCTTCAGGAGAATCGCGTCTGTGTTGTATATATGGTGGGTTGCTTTTGGGGGGTGGGTATCGCTTTTTAAACCACTGTACAGAATGTTTTTATAGCCCGAATGTCTTACTGTGATCGATTAAATTTCTTAAATGAACCGCTGGCAAAACCTGGACTGTTTTCTTCCTCTGGTGTTTGGGCTCCTCCTGTGCATGGCGGGACTCCCCCCCTCCCCCAGAAGATGGATCTGGAAAAGAGAACATTTTCTCAGAGCTCAGGATGGGCTACAGGCTATGGGGTGCTTCCCTGACTTGGGGTTTTGCTAAGTTTCCAGCATACTCCTTCACAGAACCGGCATCTATGGGACACCTGTGCTGTGGGCCAGATCCTGGTCTAGGCATGTGGGATACCGCAGTGAATAAAACCATAGAGGGGCGCCTGGGTGGCTCGGTGGGTTAAGCCTCTGCCTTCGGCTCAGGTCGTGGTCTCAGGGTCCTGGGATCAAGCCCTGCATTGGGCTCTCTGCTCAGCAGGGACCCTGCTTCTCCCTCTATCTCTGCCTGCCTCTCTGCCTACTTGTGATCTCTCTCTCTCTCTCTCTCTCTGTCAAATAAATGAATAAAATCTTTAAAAATAAATAAATAATAAAACCATAGAAGTGAATAAGAGTCTGCCCTCAAGGAGCTGACACTGTAGAAGGGGAAATAGATACAGTGATTATAATGTTAGAAGAATATTCTAGAAGAATTTTAAAAACAGGGCAATGGGACAGAGAAGTGACTGGCAGGGAGAGGACTCCTTTCGGAGGGGCCCAGGGAAGGATTCTCTAAGGAGGTGACATCTGAGCTGAATCCAGAAGCTGAACTGGGAGGAAGAGTGGCCTGGGGCTGAGACCTTCCCACCTGGTCCAATCAACAGATGATTTCTGATCGAAGCTTCCCTTCAGACCGTTTGGGGTCCTAGAGTGGTTGCTGTGAGGTTTTCTTAAAGGATGAAACAGGATAAACACCTGTGAAATTAATTAGTAAGATATAAAACGAGATTTTCCAACACAAATCCAAATAATCATGAGTTCCAGCAAATTCTCGGGTTCTGTAGCGGCAACATTTGGTGAGAGCTGTGGGCGTCCAGCCACGTGCTTCCCTGTTCTTTCATGCACCCAGGCTTTACCGGGGTCTGTACCTGTTGGCCATTAAGACCCCTTTCCCTGAGCATGGCAGATCAAACCACAAGTAGTCTAGGCGGGTCCCTGGGAGGGGTGCGCTCAGAGACACAGTAGGTGGATGGATAGAAAGAACTTAATATGGGGAACTGCATAAAAGAGACCAAAAAAGCTACGTAAAAAAGACCAAACCATCATGACATGCCAGCTCACACTCCAGGATTCCACTCGAGGTCCCTAAAGAAGTCTGATTCATAGATACTGGAAGGAGATGGTGGGCGCCAGGGGCTGGGGGAGGGGCGTGGGGAGGGACGCGGCAAGTTGGCATTCAGTGGGGACAGAGATTCAATTTGGGAAGAAGGAAGTTCTGGCCATGGCCGCACAACCATGTGATTGTACTTGATGCCCTTGAATTAGATTGTTAAACATGGTTAAGATGGCAAATTTGATGTTATGTGTATTGGAACACAATTTAATACTAAATGATAATTTAGAGACCAAATTGGGGAACAATGAGGCAGCCAGAAGTAAGCAACAGCGTCGGATGGGGCTGGCGTCCCTGGACCCCGGGAGGGAGCCCGTGGGAGCCTCCCAGGAGACACTGTGTATGGCAGACAAAAAGGGAGAGTCAGCGTCTCCCCTCCTCCTGGCGCTCTCTCCCACCAGCGGCCCCCTTTGGCTGAACCCAGCGGGACCTGGGGAATGGGGTCCCCTGCCTTACAGGGCAGAGGAAGGGAGAGCAGGAACAGGGTGGGAAGGGGCGACCCAGAGTGCCCGACAGTAGGGTGGGAAGGAGCACATCCTGGGCCAGCTCACCTAGTTTGGGATGGGTGACCCCGGGCCCACGAGAGCGTCAGTCACCCCAACTGAAACTGGGTCCAGTGCTAATCCCCCTCCCAGGCTCAGAGCAGGGTCGGGGGCTCTGCGCATGCCCAGAGCAGAAGGCCAGGCGCTGAGAGCCTGTTATCTTTTCTGTGTCCACAGGGTGGCACTTCCTTCCTTCCTTCCGCCTTTTGTCTTGGAAAGGTTCCAAAATGCCTCTGGGGGTGAAAACCGAGCAGACCGCACAGGACGCCGCCGGCCCCGCACGCGGGTGCTCGATAATTGGTTGATTGACCGATTCCATGCTCAGCCGCGTGGCAAACGGGACAAATGAGCGTAAATGGCTTGGCAAACAGAAGGGGCCTGGAGGTGCCTGAGGATGCGGTGACGGGGAGGTGGCAGGACTGGGGGGTCCCTGGGCCAGGGGCACGCATGAGGGTGGCCAGAGGTGATGGAAGCTTCTTACCGGTATCTGGCTTCAGCTGTTTTCTGCTGAAGGACTGATGACTGAAATCCTTCCTCGGCGCCCCCATAGCACCCCCCGCACGTGACACGGACACGCAGGGCTTAGAGCTTCATGACAAATAGGAGCAAAGACATCTCGGGCATTAAATCATCTGCTCCTCCGTGTGGCCCCCCGAGGAGAGGACAGTAGCCAGGGCCCATTTCACAGATGGGAAAGGGGAGGCTTGGGTCACTGGGCTCAGCTCACGCAGCTCTGGGGCGTGGGAAGATAGTTGCCACCCGGGTGCTTCCCCTACTGGCTGCGAGGGGTAGAGGGGACAGATTCTTGGGGCTCAGAACAGGGTCTCCTATTGGAAGGCCCCAGGGCGGCCTCCCTGGTCTGTGGGCTCAGCACCAGAGAACTGTGATGGTGCTGGTTCTGCTGCTTGGAGACTGTCACCCTCAAGGACAGGGTGGGGGACTGGCAGTCCTGTCCTCCTCTGCTCTGAGGGCTCAGTAGCTCTGGCCAGGACAGGATGGGTGGTGGGAGGAAGTTGCTCCCCTAAGCTTGATACCCCCAACTTGTGTCCTCTGCTGCCCCCACCCCCACCCCGGCAGCCCAAACCACAGCTGCCTGCGGTGAGTCAGGCTGGAGCCTGCGGGACTGAGCCCAGGTCCGAGGGGGAGAGGGGAGTGGAGTGGGGGAGCGCAGGGGGCTGCCCTTCACCCCCCACCCCCACAGCTTCCCCTGCCAGCCCCTCCACTCTGCGGGGGGGGGGAGGTCAGTGCCTCCTTCAGTCCCCCAGGAAGTGAATTCTCTGAGGAAGGGATGAGGGTGAGCTCTGGTCACATCAGCCACCCTGCAGAGCTGGGCAGCGGAGTAGGGGTGGGGGTGGGGGTGGGAGTTGGAGGCGGGGCAGCCCTGGGGACTCCTGGGTCTGGGCCAGCTCCCACTCCAGAAAGCTCCGGTTTCAGCCTTGCTTCCTGCCCTTGGTGGAGGGGCTCCCTCCTCCTGGAGCCCCACCCTCCCAGGCCCAGCTGCTCTGCTTATCCTGGCCTCTACTCCCACGCTGTGCCTGGGATGGAGGGGGGAGCTTGGGGGTTCACAGCAAGACCAGCCCCCTAGAAACGCTGGGCTACTGCAAGGTGTCCTGTGCTAAAGACTCCCTTTCCCGGGTCCCAACTCTGGTCCTGCCTGGAATCTGAAATCCTCTCCAGATCTTACTGGGGACTGCAGGCCCAGCATGATCAAGCAACCACTCCCTACTCCGGACCCTGTGGGATCAATCCCCCGCCCCCCACTGCTTTGCTACCTCTGCACACCCACCTTTGCACTTGCTGTTCCCTCTGCCTGGATCATGATCTCCACACTTTTGCACCCTGGGGCCTCAGGTCTGGGCTCCAATGCCCCCCTCCTCCCCAGGGCCTCCTATAGAAATCCCCACCCCGCCCCACCCCACCCCCCTGCCCCCGCCCCACCCAGAACAGCAACAGCTTTTATCACTAACTGGAAGGGGGAGTTCAGTACCCAAACTCTGGGTCCAGTTCAAACCCTGGCTCTGCTGCTCATCCCCTGTGAGAACTTACACAATTAACTGGTGTACTCTCTGTGACTCAGTTTCCTCCTTCTCAACTCATTAGTCTTGGCCTCCACTGGAGTGTGGCTCCCTGATGCGGGGCGAGGTCCGGTGGGTCAGAGATGCCCTGCCCACATTACTGAGTCAGTTGGGGAGCCTGCAGGAGGTCCCGGGACCACACACAGGGGATCCCCAGGAAACCAAGCCCTGTCTTGAGGACCTTTCCGGTCTCTCCCTAGCCAGTCCAGAGAGATCAGGCCTGGGCCCCACATCCAACAATGGAGGTTTGATTCCAGCCCCGGAACCCGGTGTCCCAGGCACACGCACTCACCCTCACCACCGACCACGCCCCCCCAATCTATGAACTAGGAAGAGCTCTATTCACAGCTCACGTGGGGACAGGGGTGGGGGACACTGGGTGGGCCACCCAGGACAATGAAAGTCCTGGGGGTTTAGAGAAAGAGGCCGAGGGCCCCTCAGGGGCAGCCAGCTCAGGACTGGCCCCACAGCTGCCGGGTGTGAGGGCCTCCACTCTCCCTCAGCATTTCCTGCGCTCTTTCCCCAAAACACCGACTACAAGCCAGGTCAGCTGGGCCTTCGGACGTCTGACTCGTGGCCAACTATCCGCGATGACTTTATCGGAACGTCAGCTTTGCCGCTCCAACAACTCAGGCCCGGGCCCCCACTGCTGGGCCTTTCTCCCCGGGTCACCTTGAAAAAGGGGCTGCCACCTCCGAGGCTGCCCCTCGTCGGCAAAGCCGAGCTGCTCCTCCACGGACCCCTCAGCCCTACTGTGGGGGCTCAGACTCCAGGGGTGTCACTGTCCTGTGGCTTTGGGCAGGTGACCGGACCATTCCGTGCCCCTCGGCCCATCTGTAAGATGAACGCTCTTTCCTGGCTTGGGAAGGCGCTGGGGGGCATACGAGGGGAAGGGGGTCAAGCCTCCGCTCTGCGGGCGCAAGGCCAGTGAGCAGGCTCCCCACTCCCGGGCATGGGGACACGGATCTCACTTCTCCTTCAGCCAGGCTGGGCCAAACCGGCAGCAGGCCCGTGGCCGGTCTCCAGAGTCCCGGGGCCAGTGACCACCACTGCCGGGGCGGCTCTCCGAGGAAGGCCGCGCAGGGGTGGGGGTGGGGGAGCACCCTGGAGGCTGTGGGCCTGAGGCTGGCCTGCCGGCTGTCCCGGGCACCCAGCCAGCACCGGGCAGTGAGTCAGGGCCCAGGCATGCGGAGGGCCGGGTCCTCTCCCGGCCCCTGTGAGCTCAGGCGCCTCCCTGCACCCGCCCGCCAGGCCACGTTCCTTACCCGCTTGCTCACGCCGCTGGCCAGTCCCGGGGGTGGTTGGGGGGGTGGCTGCTGTCTGGGTCGACAGAGGCACACGGCCGCTCTGAGTCGGGGTTCACACGGCCTCCCGGAAGGGACCGTCTTCTTCTTGGGGAAACTGAGCTCCAAGCCGGCCAATACCTCCTCGGCCCCCTCCCAGAACCAAGCAAAGCGACCGCGTGGAGGGAGAGCCGGCCCACGGAGGGCTTTAGGGCCTGGGCCGCGGGCGCTCCCGGGCTCTGGTCCGCCGCGAGCTCCGAGGCGCACACCTGCCTGCCTCTCCCAGGCACCTGCAGGCTTGCCTGATGCGCTACAAGGACGGGCGGGTCACCTGCCCGGGGCCTCTCAGCTGCGCTGGGCTGATTCTCACATGCTCCCCCCACCCCCGCCCTGCAGGGGGCACTGCCGGCACCTTCCCCCCTGCCGTCGAGCAGGTGGAGGCCAGCTGTTAGCAGAAGTCCCACCAGCATGACCGCAGCTACTCAGCCGACCACGTGCGGCCGCCTGGCTGGTTCTTGGCTGAGGCTGCAAGGGGGGGGTGGGGGGGCACTGCCTCAGGTGTGCTCGACTGAGGGGGTGCTCCTGGCATCCAGAGGGTGGGGGCCAGGAATGCTGCTCAAGGTCCTGCAAAGTCCAGGACAGCCTGTACCACAGAGAATGACTACGCCCGATGTCCCTAGGGCTGAGGTGGGAAAACCCTGGTCAAGTTCAAGTGTTTTGCCCTTTGGAGGCTGATGGTATAAACAGGAGGCTCTGCGCCTATTTCATGCCATAGAAGACCCTGCCTACCGATCTTGAAAATGAAAACAGCTCAGAAGGAATTATGAGACCATTTACTCGAACACGTAAAGCCAAGCCCTTGGCATACAAACAGAACCTCGAAGGTTCTGGGAATCCCTGTGAACCGAGTAAACTGGTCCATCCCCCTAGAGTCTGACAGGCAGGCTTCCTTGCCCCAGAACCCGCAAGGCTGACCTGAGTGGACTGTGTCTGGTGCCCATGATGCGCCCAGAAGCCGCTGGAACCTCCTGCTCACTGCTCTGCCTGGAATGCCTCCTCTCCAGTCAGAAACCACTGTAACCTGGCACCTTCTAGAAACAACTCCGTTATGAGGCTGTGTACAAAACCCCAGACCAGAGGACCCAGAGGCTCGTGTGACCCTGCCATACCTCCCAACCGGGCTGTACATAGAAGGCAGCCCTTAGGTTTGAGGGAAAACTACTTCCCTTCTCCGCCCTCAGGCAGGCAGGCTGGCCGTAAGCTTCCCATTCTCAGGGGTACCCCAGGTCACTGGGGGCGGGGATGGGGGCCGGGGCCACGGAGGTCGGCCTGGGTCATATGCTGCATAAGTTAGATTTCCTTGAGCTGTGGAGTGCGGGGCTGGCTGTCAGGGGAGCAGGCGTCTCTCTTGATCTCAGGGTAGTGAGTTTGGGCCCCATGCTGAGTGTGTAGAGATTCTAAATAAACAAAAACAGAAAACCCCAAAACAAAACGAAAAACAGTGGCACACACAAGACTACGTAGTCTCCCCTCATAAATCAGTCCAGTGCTGGGGCGCCTGGGTGGCTCAGTCTGCTGAGCGTCTGACGCGATCTCAGCTCACGTCTGGATCTCAGGGTCATGAGTTCAAGCCCTGTATTGGGCTCTACACTGGGTGGGGAGCCTACTTCAAAAGAAAAAGTCCAAGGGCGCCTGGGTGGCTCAGTTGGTTAAGCATCTGACTCTTGCTTTCAGCTCAGGTCATGATCTCAGGGTCATGGAGCTGAGCTCTGCATCAGGCTCCACACTCTGCCCGGAGTGTACATGTCCCTCTCCCTCTGCTCACACTCTCTTTTGCTCACTCAAATAAATAAATAAAATCTTAAAACAAAAGTCCAGTGCTGCTGATACCCAGCTCCACGGTCATCAGGCAACCAGGCTCCCGTCAACCCTAGAGGCTTGTATCCCTCCTTACGTGTGGCAACAGGGCTGCCAGGGCTCCAGCCAGCACCTCCGTGTTCCAGTTCTGGGCACATGGTGGCACTCAAGACTATGCCCCGAGTCACTACAAAAGGGCCCATCTTGAAACACAGATGACAAAGACACAGGACGGGTCATTGTACACTATGGTGCCATTTGCACAGTGTGGCCACGATGTGAAGCTGTGGGTCTAGTCTCCAGGGCAGTTCTCCGAAGTTCCCAGGCCAAGGCAGTGCCAGCACTGAGGCCAAAGGCCAAATGAAATCCAGTAAAAAAAAAAAAACCCAAAAGACAAAAAAACCAAAAAAACCCTGACTATTTGTGTACAAACATTTAATGTCCAGTTCCTCTCACCCTTGAGGCACTGACCACCCAGCACGCTTGTGTCGGGCCATGGGTGGAAGTGTCCCTGAGGCCCCCGGCTACCAGTCTGTGTCCACCAGGCTCCAGAGATAGTCGCTGATGAACTTCTTGGAGAGCTGGGTGCTGTCCAGGTGGAGAGGCTGGGCGACGCTGGGGCCATGATGGACTGAGGGCGCAGATGTAAGGAAGCCTGACACACACGGCACCCCCGGGACCCCAGGAGCAAAGGATACTCCCTCTGAAGAAACTGTAAGACGGTATTTAGAGACTGAACGAGATTTCTGTGAACAAAAAGTTGAATTCTGATAGCGTACTCTTTACAAAGAATTGTGCTGAAATACATATAAAATCTACCATTTTAGCGAGTTTTTAAGTGTAGAGCTCAGGGGCATTAAGTACAGGCACGGGGTTGTACAGCCATCCCCACCATTGGTCACCAGAACTTTCCATCTTCCCCATGGACTACAGACTCCCCTTCCCCTCCCCCGGGTGCCTGCCATCTACTTCCTGTCTCTGTGGCTTTGACTCCCCTAGGGACCCTTCCTGTCTGTGGAACAAGACACCCGTTTACTTGTTGTGTCCGGCTGGTTTCACTTACCATGTACTCCAGGTACATCCATGTTCTAGTATGTGCCAGAAACTTCTCCCTTACATACCTCAAGATGGGTACACCAGCGTGTGCTTACCCAGCAATCTGCCACACCATCACTGGGTCGCTCCCACCTTTTGGCCATGGGGACCACCACTGTCATGCACACAGGTGTACAACTATCTCTTCAATACTCTGCTCTCCGTATTTTTGTATCTGTACCCAGAAGGGGGGCTGTGGAGTCCTCTAGGGGTTTGGGGGGACCTGCCGGACTGTGGTTCACAGCGGCTCTACACCCCCCATCGCCACCAGCGGCGCACCAGGCTCCGCTTTCTCCGCAAAGGATACTGCCTTTGACCATGCCCGCCTCACTCTCATAGTCCCACTCGATTTTACTGATTCGGTGATAAAGTTGAGCCACGTACCTGTATGAGAACACACACACACACACACACACACACACACACACACACACACACACACACACACAAACACACACACACACACACACACACAAACACACACACACAAAAAAGAGGAGAGAGAAAAGAAAGTCACCCAGGCATGGACTCCAACTCAGAGCTGTGGGATCACACCCGCCGCCCTGCGTGCTGGAGGGACCTACACAGCCGAAGGGATGGTGACCGTCGTGTCTTCGTCAACTTCCCTTTCCTGTCTCTCCAGACTGGCCTCGATCTCCTTGAGCTCCTCCAGCTCTTGGGTAAGCTGAGTAAAGCAGGCAGTTAAGGTCACCTCGCTCTGGAGGGGGCGCTGCCCATGCTAACCCCAGCCCCGGGGAGGCCCAGGGTCCCTGGCTCAAAGCCCGGCAGCCGGCGGGAATGAGCCGGTGTCCCCGCGGTGAGCCCGAGGCCCGGCCGCCCCATGCAGCGGGAAGGATATCGGAGGCGGGCCTTCACGCGGGTGTCCTCCTCGCCCGCCTTCTGAAGCTCCTCTTGGAGCTGCTGCAACTCAACGCCGCCCTGGTGCGCCCGCTCTTTGGCATCAAGGAGGCTCTGGGCAACTTCTTCCTCCATGGCCAGGATCTCTGGGGGTGGGGGAGAGAAGGCTGAGGCCCTTCGGCGTGGTTTCTCCTGGGTCTACCTGTGCCCGAGGCCTTGGCCACTCCTTACTTCCTCGCCTACAGCTCCCCAAACTGCCGGTCCTATTTCCAAAAGCCCACCACTCCGTTCCACTGGACCTCGCAAAAGTACTTCCATGTCACCAAAACACATTTGAATCCGCCCAAAAATATGAACAAATGGGTAAAGAAATCAAGAAATCAACCACTCCAGCCTTTCCTTGCACACCTAATCTTAATTTATAATGTCACGTTCAATTCTGTTGCCCAAGCAAGAAACTTGGCCCTTGCTTTCCACATCCAATTAGCGATCCAGGCCTGGGCTGGCCAGTCCCCTCCTCCTGGCCAGCGGGAACCCCCTCACGGGTTCCTCCAGAACCAACCCAACAGCCTCCCACTCGCTCCCTGCTTTGGTCTCTCCTGTCCCCAATCCCTTCTGCTCTCTGCCTCTAGGGTGGCTGCCTTAGAGACCAAACGAGAAGTCCCACCCCTGCTCAAAGACCACCCATGGCCCCCTAGTGTCTAAAAGATAAGGCCTGGATCCTTCTGAGTATCTTGAACTTCACCGACAGCTGCTTTTCACCCCACGGTGTGCTCTCCTCACAGCTCTGACCGCAAAGACACCTCATCATTCTGCAAACAAGCCCCGTTTTTTTTACAGGGCCGGGCCTTCATCTGCCCGTCCTCTGTGGGACGCTGCTGTGCTCCTGCCCATTGTGCACTCCTGAACCCAGCCTTCAAGACCTCCTGGGCAGTGCACAACTTGGGCAGCTGGACACTCTCCTCTCCCTCCTAGGGTGCGGCCATGCTTCCCTGACAGCACCCCAGCTCCAAATGATTCATTCCTCCTCTTTCCTCCTCGAATCAGGGATTGCATCCTATAGTTACCGTAGATCACCAGCACCTACTCAGAATAAACACGCTTTGAACAAAACATCCAGAAAGATCAAAAACACCCTAACAAGGTTACCATGTTCCTTCCCAGACAGCTGGAGAAACCCGCCAACTTAAAGAAGGCACAGATGGAAATGCTTCCCAAAGGGCTGGCGTTTAAGTGTTTACAAACTTACATTAAGTTAATTTTTCATCAAAATATTATATGTATATGGCTGTGAAAATTTAAACACACATGGGCACCCCCCGCCCCTGCCAGCCTCTCCACCCCTCTGAAGCAGCCACTTTCAACTCATCACTGTTTTCTCTGGCATTGACCTTCACATTTCTAAATAATTTGCTTATGCTGCTATTTCTTGATTTGTCTGTTTTAAACGGTGCCTGACTTCCTGTTAGGATAGCTGAGGGTCTGGTTCTCTTCTGCAGCCTTCCTGCCCCTTCTCCCCTCACCCTCCCACAGACAACCTGAGTCTCCTTGGATTCCTCCCTGGGAGGGTCCTCCTCCCTCACAAGCCTCTGAGGGATGTGGCTTTAGCCCTGCCCCGGTGGAGAGGTGGACAAGAAGCCCCAAAGATGTTCAGTGACTTGTCCACAGGCACTTAGCTCTGAAGCCCGGATCTGAACTGAATCCCAGCTTCCTGGTCCACTGACTCCTGTCTCCCCAGCCCCAACTCCACCCGTTCTGCTAAAACCTAGGCAGTATGGGTGATGCCATCTTCTCCCCAAACCATCAATGGAGGGGGAGTGAATGGAGTGGGGAGGAGAGAGGAGAAAGGAACAAGAGAGGTGGAGGAGAGAAGGAGAAGACTCTGACTGGGCATCCACCACACTTAAAACCTCCAAACTCCTGCTGGGGGCTCACTGCCGGCAGGGTCTTGCTGTGGCTGATCTCACCTTCAGCACTTTTTCCTGGGTCTCCAAGTTCACTCTCACCTTGTGACCTTGGCATTTGCAGTCACCTCTGCCAGGAACACTCTTCTCCCAACGCATTCCCTGCCTAGCTCCTAGGTCATTTCGGTCTCCATGTGAAATGTAACCGTAAAAAGGCATTAAAAAACAAAAAACAAAAAACAAAAAAAAACCCTGGCAACGAAACCACTGTGGAAAACCGGATGACGGTTTCTCAAAAGATTAAATATCAAATTACCATGTGATCTAGCGATTCCACTTCTGGGAAAATGCAAAAAGAAGAATTGAAAGCAGGGACCCAAAAAGATATTTGCACACCCATGTTCATGGCAGCATTATCACAGCAGCGGGGAGCTGGAAGCTACCAACTGTCCATCAGTGGATGAATGGACAAACAAAATGAGGTATGACTATATAGTGGAATATTATTCAGCCCTACAAAGAAAGGAAATTCTGACTCGCTGCAACATGGATGAATCTTCAAAATATTGTGCTAAGTGAGTGCCTCAATCAGTTAAGTGTCTGCCTTTGGCTCAGGTCATGATCCCAGGGACCTGAGATGGAGCCCAGCATCAGGCTCCCTGCTCGGTGGGGAGTGGGCTCCTCCCTCTGCCTCTGCCTGCTGCTCCCCCTGCTTGTGTGCAGCACAAGAGAGACAGAGAGTTTGTCTCTCTGTCCAAATAAATGAATAAAATCTTAAAAAAAAAAAAAAGAAAGAAACCATTGTGCTCAATGAAATAAACCAGACACGAAATATAAAAAATAACAATAAAAAGAAAATAAGCCAGACACAAAATTCCAGGACTCCAGTTTATATGAGGTCCCTAGAATAGTCAAAATCTGTAGAGACAGGAAGCAGAATGGTGGGTGCCAGGGGTGGGGAGGAGGGGAAATGGGGAGTTAGCGTTTAACAAATACAGTTTCAGATGCAGACAATGAAAACATTCTGAAGATGGACGGTGGGGTTGGAGGCACAATGATGTCAATGTGCTTAACACCACTGAACTGACACTTAAAAATGGCTAAAATGGTAAGTCTTCCAACAATTTTATACTCCCCCCCAAAATTGTAGCCTTAAAAGCAATAAAAACCTGGCACTGAGAGCAGTGACAATAGGTGCTATCAGCGGTCCCATTTTACAGATGAGGACACTGAGGCTTGAGAGGGCAGCCACGGGACTGGGGCCACAGGCCTCATGAGTTACCTGAAATCCAGGTCGGAGGCTGGGTGAGCCCCTCGCACCTGTGGGAGAGGCTCGATCAAATCCTCTCTCCAGCATGTTAAGATATTTATCAGCAAAGCTTTTTTCCCTTAAGAGTCTTACATTTGCTGGTGTCTTAAATTCCACGTAAATGGTATTATCTATCCACTGTTCTCTCCATGTAAAGCAGGAGGCACTTTCCCAGCACGAATTTGTTTAATCCCACCAGGGCCCTGGCTCCCTCCCAAGCCTCCTTGGGTTTCTGCTAAAACATCCTCTTTCCAAAAGGCTTTCGCTGACCCGCCCCAAAACATCACCACACCCTCCTATACAATCCAGTTTTTCTCCTTAGCCCATCACCTCCCGACTTACCCATTTTTCTTGTTTATCTTCTGACCTCCCCCCACTAGCATTAGCAATCCTCTAAGGGATTTTGTCTGTTTCCTTCTCTGCTTCCACCCTGGGCTGGCACGCTACCTGGCACACAGCAGGTGCTCGGTAAAACAGCTGAACCACCTCAGGAAGTGGGGATGCTGGGAGCTAAACTCAGCGCTTTGACTCCTGAGCCCCACTCCGGACCCTGAGCTCCCCAGCTCCTGCTCACGGAACCCTCTGCGTTGGGCCAGACCCTGCAAACTCCTATATTCACCAACTAACTCCCAGGGAGGTGGCTGCCATCCTGAAGCCCATATCACGGGTGGCGAGGAAACGAAGGCTCAGAGGGGGCGGTGTCTACGGGAGAACGGGGCAGGGATGGGAGCAACCAGGAGGGAGGGTTTCGAGGCGGACCTGCCGCCCCCTGCCATAACGCGGGCCTGGGTCCAGGCCGCCCCCGGCCCCAGCCCTGACCTCGCAGCCGTTGCTCGGCGTTGTCTTGCGTCTCCAGCAGGCGCTCCACCACTTGTTCGTGGCGTCCCAGCAGCCGCCGTTGCTGTGCCTCCGCGCGGTTAGCGCCTAGCAGGCTCAGCAACCCCTGGCTCACCTCTTCCATGTCGCGGAAGGCCGCCATGACTACGCCAGGACCATTCCCGCGCAAGTTTAACTGCCCTCAGGGCCCGCCCCTTTCCCAAAGAGCCCCGTTTCCATTGGCTTGATCCTCCATCAGTCATCAGGGAATGGGCGGGAGGTAGCTTCAGGTCTGGCCTAGTGCGCCTGCGCCGGTGCCTCCGTCAGTCTCCGGCGATGGCTAATCGGCGCAGGGAGGGTGTGTGTGTGCCCGCGGGAGTCCTGCGTGATGCGCCTGCGCAGGCTGGAAAGCGTCTGGCAGGTCCTGAAGCTGTTTGTCTTCTTGGCAGCCCACGGCCTCCAGGGCGGGGTTCTAGGGGCGAAGCCTTAGGACTGCGTCTCATGGAGCTGAAGTTCAATAGAGTGTGCGTGGGGAACTCACAATCAACGTAATAAATAAGTCAATTCCATAACAGGCTGCATAGCAAGATGGAGTCTGCAGCCAGATTTATGGGGTTCGAATCCCACTGACTACCTTTGTTCCCTGTGCAAATGACTTCATCCCTTTGTGCCTCCTTTTCCTCTTGAGTAAAATGGGGGTCATAATAGTACCTACTTAGGGGTTGGCGTGAGAATTAAGTGAGGACGGTGCTGGGTATTCCGTGAGCACTGTATTAAGGCGTTAAATAAAACCTACACAGAACATGAGTGAGGCAGCCAGCCTAACTAAAACACCACAACACCATGCTGTGCGAAGGGCTATAGTAGAGAGAAGAAACAACTTGCCCATTTACGTGCCAAATTTCTCAAACTGTGGTAAAGAAATCAATTCAGCAGGTCATGACCAGCATTTTCTACAAAATACAATGAGGGAAGAAAATCAGTGCATTGTGTACAGAAAGTTAAGTATTGTTTTGGGAACTCCAAAATCTGCAACTGTGTATTGGGTGTGACATTATATTTTCGAAAAATGGCTACGGAAATAGTTCCAACCTTGCCACTCCCCGTCAAGAGGCAGACTCTCGTTTTCCTTTTGAATTTCGGCAGGACTTTGTGCAACAGAATAAAAATGTGGCAGAAAGGATATTCTGAATTACGAGCCTCGGTCAGAAACTAGGGTGCAGCTTCTGCCTTGTGCTAGCTGTGCTGTCTCTTGCTCTCCTGCCCTCTCTCGGTTTGGGGATACTCTGTCTCAGAGCCCAGCTGCCATGTTGCGAGGAACCCAGGAGCCTCCCAGATGAGGCCGCAACAGAAGCTAGTGTCAACCATCAGACAAATGAGTGAATGAGCACTGAAAAGACTTCAGCCCCCAGCCTTGGAGCCATCCCAGCTGACACCAAGAGGACCAGAGACAGCTGGCCCCACCAAGCTCTGTTGAAACTGCAGATCTGGGCGCCTGGGTGACTCAGTGGGTTACGCCTTTGCCTTCAGCTCGGGTCATGGTCAGGGTCCTGGGGTCGAGGCCTGCATCGGCTCTCTGCTCAGCGGGGAGCCTGCTTCCCCGTCTCTCGTCTCTCTGCCTGCCTCTCTGCCTACTTGTGATTTCTCTGTCAAATAAATAAATAAATAAATCTTTAAAAAGAAAGAAAGAAAGAAACTGCAGACCTGTGAGCAAGATCAATGCCATTGTTTAAAGGCAGTCCATCTGGGAATAATCCAGCCATAACAACTGGATTGCTGGGTCACGTGTGAAATTTCTGTCTTACTGTAGGTCCCACAAAAAACCCTGAAGGCCACTGCTCTAGTGGCGAGGCCTCACAAGGAAACAAACGAACAGGATCATTTTAGTGAGGAACATGTGCTTTGAAGGCCCTAGCAGGGTCTAGGAGAGCGTCCCTGGAGTTGGGGATAGGGAAGGAAGTGACTTAAGGCTATGTGGTCAGGGGCAGGGACCGACTCTCTGGGCAGGGGACATAGGAACCAGGAACCAGGATCTGAGTGATAAAATGATGTTGGGAAACCAGCACCAGGCAAAAGAAAGAGCCTATGGACAGAAAGGACAATAAAGTGGGGAAATTTTTAGTTTGTTTGAGGAACAAACTGTGTAGGGGAGAGCTATGGAGTGAACTGGCTTCCAGATCTTCCAGAGTCTAGAGAATTTCAGGGCTAGCTGGATATGCAGAATGAGGAAAAAGAAGAAGTTGCTTCCTGGGTGTTTGGCCCAAACATCTGGATGGGTGGTGGTGCTTGTGGGCAAGATGGAGAGGAACAGGCATGGAGGGGAGGGGCTCCATGAAGTGAAAGGTTTAGGGAAGTTCTTAGTAGCTGGTGAATGGCCACATCGAACTATCGAGAAGGTGCTTGCTTGGCTGTGAGTCTGCAGAGACACTTAGGCTGGGAATAAAAGCTGGTTGTCCAGATGCACCTGAGACCAGATGCCAGCATCCTGGGAAAGAATAAGGAGGAGGAGTGTAAGGACCAAGCACTGAGACCCTCTGACTGTAGGCAAAGAGGAGAAGTGAGCAGAACAGAGAAGGCATCACCATGGAGGAAGGAGAGAAGCTACCACAGAGCGGTCAGGAAATGTGATTTGATTGCCCATCAGGACTCTGACAGGTCCCCCGCCCCATGCCTGGGGCCACCTTCTTCCTCAGAGCTTACTTTATTGTTTTTTTAAAGTTTTATTTATTTAAGTCATCTCTACACCCAACGTGGGGCTTGAACCCATGACCCTGAGATCAACAGTCGCATGTTCCACCTACTGAGCCGGCCAGGCACCCCCAGAGCTTACTTTGCTTTGAAGAGACAGTTTTTGTGATGACTCCAAGGGCTGTTTTTTTATTTTTACAGCGGTCCTGGAGCTGGGAACACCCTTAGGGCTGAAGGATTGATTTAATCTTAACCCAGGTCACAGGTCTCTTTGAAATTTGATCAAAGCAGGGACACAGGCTCTTCCTCGGAAAACTACACTCCACATCCACACACGTTTGGATTTTGTGCGTTATTTCAGGTTTAGGACTCCAGAAGACCATCTCCAGATTTTTAGGCCAAGAAGCTCCCTGGCCTTTGTCTCATGGGATAGCTATCACTTTGGCAGAAACATGGGTGGGTGGGCGTGGAGTTGCGTCCCCGGAGTCAGCATTTACAGCGAGCAACGCTCACCTCCTGTTGGCTGAGCCCTTAGGCTAGGATTGCTCTGTTACCTCAACTGTGTGACCTTTGGTGGCCGGAGCTCATATTCTCCATGTCTAAAGGGGGTGGATTACTACCAACGCAGAGTGAAATAATGAGGAGATAAGACGTCAGGGGTTCAGTTTCTGGTTCTCCATATTACCTGTGACCTTGGCAAGCTCTAAACCTTTCTAAACCAGGGGCTAATGATAGCTCTCTTATCAGTTGGGGTGGGGTGTTCATGAGATAAGCCATTTGGGATTGCACAACCGTAGCCTGACAGATATAAATGCTCCTGTCAAAAAAGGTCATCCACCTCCCTTCCAAAAATCGAAGCAAGAACCACCTCACAACGTTAGGATGGAGACTATTTAAAAAAAAAAAATGTTGGCGGGAGTGGAGAGGGAATTAGACAAACCCTTGTGCATTGTGGGTAGGAATGTAAAATGGCGCCTCCACTATGTAAAACAATATGGTGGGTGCTCACAAAATTAGAAATGGAATAACCCAGCAATGTCACTTCTAGGTATATAGCCCCAAAATTGAAAGCGAGGATTTGGAGCTATTTCTACACCCAAAGTGATTTGTAATAGCCAAAAAGGTGGGAGCAACCCAAGTGTCCCACTGATGGATGGTTGAACAAGATGTGATGTATCCATACAAAGGGATGTTTGTTACTCAGTCTTGAAAATTCTGACAGATGCGATATGGATGAACCTTGAGGACATCATGCTGGTTGAAGTAAGCCAGTCATAAAAAGACCACCACTGCATGGTTGCATTTATTTGAAGTCCCTCCAGTAGTTAAATACATAGAGACAAAAAGTAGACCAAGGGTTGCCAGGTGGGGTGGTGAAGAGTCAGTGTTTAATGTGGCCAGTTTTAGTTTGGGAAGAGGAAAGAGTCCTGGAGGTGGGTGGTGGGGATGGTTACACATGTGTGAATGTGTTTCATACCACTGAACTGGACACTTAAAAAAATTGGCTTCAGTGGGGGGGTACCTGGGTGGCTCAGTCAGTTAACAGTTTGCCTTCAGCTCAGGTCATGATCCTGGGGTCCTGGGATGGAGCCCCACATTGGGCTCCCTGCTTGGCGGGAAGCCTGCTTCTCCCTCTCCCATTCCCCCCTGCTTGAGTTCCCTCTCTCACTGTTTCTCTGTCAAATAAATAAAATCTTTAAAAAAAAATGGCTTTGGGGCGCCTGGGTGGCTCAGTGGGTTAAAGCCTCTGCTTTCGGCTCAGGTCATGATCTCAGGGTCCTGGGATCGAGCCCCGCATCGGGCTCTCTGCTCAGCAGGGAGCCTGCTTTCCCCCTTCTCTCTGTCTACTTGTGATCTCTCTCTCTCAAATAAATAAATAAAATCTTTAAAAAAAATGGCTTTGATGGGGGGCACCTGGCTGGCTCTGTCGATGGAACGTGTGACTCTTGATCTTGGGGTTGTGAGTTCAAGCCCCACATTGGGTATAGAGATTACTTTAAAAAAATAAATAAAATCTTTAAGAAATGGCTTACATGGTGTCATGAATATTTTACCACAATTAAAAATAAAAATACATATATCAGCAAAAAGCAAAGCAAGAAACTGGGTGGTGCTGAGGAACTGGATCTTAAGCCTGAGCTAACAAGTTAACAAGGATGACAAAGGTGTCCCTGGGTGGCTCAGTGGCTTAGGCCTCTGCCTTCAGCTCAGCTCATGATCTCAGGGTCCTGGGATCAAGCCCCGAATCGGGGCTCTCTGCTCGGCAGGGAGCCTGCTTCCCCCTCTCTCTCTGCCTGCCTCTCTGCCTACTTATGATCTCTCTCTGTCAAATAAATAAATAAAATCTTTAAAAAAAACTCAAAAAGCAAAAAACAAGGATGACAAAATGGGCCTTGGAGATTGCTTGTGGGCAACAATATTTTTCATTTCTGGAAGGCCTCTTGGTTCACAGAGCCCTCTGGAAAACTGACAGTA